ATCATCTGCTTTGGAAAAATATTGGGTGCCCTTTCTTTTTTTTTTTTTTGTTCCGAGTGTATTTCTTCGAAGGCATTGTTTCCAATTTTCACGTGCAATTGATCACGAATAGCGAAAAAATTTCATAAGATCGATCATATACAATTCTCACTCTCTAAAGGTTTAGTTGCCAATCGTTTTCGAATGAGATTGTCGATAGCTTTTGTAATAACTAAAAGGGACTCGCAAGTGCCGAGTCACGCCTTGACAAACAGGGATGTCAAACAGATGTCTCGCTCCAGTATTCAGACCATGTTTCCTTCAAAGATGAGTTCTCGCTCATTCTTTAAAAACACATTTCCTGTCTCTTATATGAGAATATAAAAAATTATTCTTTCTTTGATAATTAAATTTGTTTCAGATGTTAATTCTTTTTTTCCCTCAATAATCATAAATGTAAAAGTTTCTTTACAATATTCAAAATAATATTGAATTATTTCAATAATAATATAATTTTAATAATTCAATCGAACTCTAAATTTTTAATTCATTCCCATCGTTAACTTAACAACTTAATAAATTATTTTCTTGTCTGACTTCAATTTATGAATAACTAAAGAACATCTCTTCTCACAAATTTTATTTTGACCCTTGAGAAGATGAAATTAGTCACCGAACCAGACGCGGCTATAAATATATAAATTAAACAAAATTTGTCGATCACATTCAACCTCGTGGAAAAAGAGTTGATTTTCCAGTAAATCGAGAAATGGAAAAGAAAAATGTACAAAAAAATAAATATATCCGTGTGCCACCTCATCCCCTTTGTCAGTGCGTATGATTGGCTGTCGGCATCGTGCCGTTCGTTCGCTTCGTTTTGGTCATTTCGCTCGGTCAGTTTATAGGGGATTTGACACGGACACGCGACACGTTCAGCTTTGCACCTGACGCTCGATCGTCAGTGGTTTTCACGGTCACTTAAAAAAAAAGAATCTCTTTTCAATCAATACACACATACACACAGCGAAAAAAAAATTCCATTCTTTTCCAATCGAATAAAAATTATGACTTTAAAATAAATATTATTTAGTGAACAAAAAAATTTTAAAAACAAGTAAAAAATTTAAAAATATTTTAAAAATTAAAAAAAAATTATAAATAAAAACTTCAATAAATTAAAAATAAACGAAAATTATTTTCTTTTTTTAAACTGTAAATAGAAAGACGTGACTCAGTGGTGAAAATAAATGAAATAAATGAAATGAACGATGACAAAGAATGGTTATAATATTAATAAATTTATTATGAAGAATTAGAGATTGTTTGATGACGAATTTAAAAAAAAAATGATGAAAGCATGGTTAAGTGTATGAATTAGAAAACGGAGGCAATGTTTGTTTTAAATTAAAGGCAAAGATGTGCTTAGTAGTAGAGGTCTCTCAATGTTTTCTGGCCACCGGCTCTCTCTCTCACAAGGATCATTTTTCATGACGCGCCATTCCGAGATAAAACTCCCTTTACCTCCCGGCAACGGATATCAATCAGTACCGTATACGACTGTTAAAGCGAAAACAATACCAGTAGTTAAAATCGTATATATATATGTTTAAAGTGAGAATGAATCAAAAAGAAAAGAAACGATAACTATTTATATTGTTTAATGTTTGATTTCATCATGTTATATGCGTGTCAACGTGCTCTACAGATAAAAATAAATTCTTATCACCCCCACAATGGCAAATAATTACAGTTTTTTTACTGTAAATTTTACATTTTCATTTATACTATACTAACATTTTTAATTTATACGTACTATTTTAAGATTTCAATATTTATAATTTAACTTTTTAATTTATACTATAAATTTAACATTTCAATTTATTTTCTAAAAAATAATTGTAATTATTATTAAAAATAATTACGAATAACATTAATAAGATTAGTAATCGAAAATGAAGTCAAAAGAAAAATGACCAAAAATATTGAAAAAGTAGGCTAAATATTTAAATGGGGGAATAAAAATAATGCGAGGGTGATAATAATTTTATCGAGTTATCTGGTTTTTTTTAATAGTGAAAAATTTGAGGCGAAAGGAGAAGAATAGTGGAAAAAGCGATTCGAGGGTGTACAAATGGTGTCGATATTGTGCTTCCGGTGGTGTTGCTAGCTATTCGTGCGAACATTCGTTCGAGTCGATAGCACGGTATCGAAGTTGATAAGCATTGCGATACGATATGGTCCAGAGGAAGACAAAACACTCCAGCTTAAACCGAAGGCATTTATTATAATGCGCTTCAATTTTTTTTCTCTCCTCCTACTCAAATACCACACACAGCACTTCTAGTATTTCATGTTGTAATCAACTTTTCTCTTCATTACTTCTATTTTGTTCAAAAATGTATATAATTATTTATACATTATTATTTATAAATGCAATAAATGTATATATAAATATATAAATAGCAACGAATTGATTCCAAAAATGTGGATCAAAAATTTGGATCAGTGTCTGATTTGATCTCGGATTTGATTCAAATTTTTGGCATCAATGTGATCTGCCTTAGTATAAATTTTATACTTTCAAGAAAACTTTAATTATTTATATTTTATATCTAAATTTATATATTTAATCATCTATACATTTAATCATCAAAAAGAAGAGAAAGCCCATTTTCAAAAGAGAGAATAGAACCAAAAAAAAAGGAGAAGAAATCGAAAATTGAAATTGCTCGCATGCATACTTGCTTTTCACACATATCCGTTTCCGCTCAGCAAAATAATAATAACACAATGCAAATTCTCTATAAACATATGATATTCCCTCGACAGCAATTGCGAAGAAAACAACAAGAGTTTTGGAATGCGATAGAAAAAACCCAAAAAGAAAAAAAAATGTCCGTAACGAGACAAAGTATAGAGGAACGATGTCGCTCGCTTTTGGATGATTTGAGAGTACATGGCAAGAAGAGAGAAAAGAAAAAATCGCGCGTATTTGTTTAATTATCAACGGTACCGCATTAACTCGTTAATTGAGCGTCAGATGGTGTGCATTGTATCCGGTTGACACGCTTTGTACACAAAAATCTATCTACGCAGATGTTTGTGTGGGAGTTGATCGTCGTGTGTACCTCTCGTCGCGAGAATTTTACCCCCACAAAATGAAAAAAAAACCGTCGCCGCGCGCTTACTTTTTCGCATTACTCCTTTTTTACAAATGAGAAACACATGCCACACACATAAATGATCGGCAGACGCGTTAATCGTATGCACAAATTAGAACAATGAGTGCGTGCCATTATATTCATAGAGCTATAAGGGAACAAACAACCGTTTTTTGAATGACATTTCTATGCCACGACATCGGGGGGGAATCTCTCTCTCTCTCCTTTTGTTCCATGATATTTAAACGACATAGACAGAACACGAAAGGACCAAAATGAGATGTTCGATGGCGAAAACTAAATAAAAAAAAAAAGTTCGGCAACTGGCCGACGACGACGGCCTGTCAACGCTCTCGACTAATCAAGCGACCCTCACTTTCCTATGGGTCATCGACAAAAGCATTCCTCACCGCGAGTTTTTAATTCACATTTCCAGAATAAAGCCAAAGAATGAATCAAATGAAATAAATCATGAGACAAAAGGCGACCAGTTTTGTAATGAGAAAATAAACTTGATTGAATTTATTGGACTCTTATTAAAAAAATTCCTACCGCCCCTATCTATATATTATAGAGAAATTTTGCCTGTAGACAAAAAAATATTTTTCACCAAGAAAACTAAAATAGTATAAAAAAAAACTCTTATCATTGTGTGTTTTCAATTAGTGGATTGAAATATATGTGTAAATATGTGTTATAATCTTGATGACTTTATAATTTGCTGACACACACTATTTATAACTAATAAATGATATAGGCGCAAAGGAAAATTATTTTATGATGAGTCATTCGTTAAATTTTCAATTGAACCGTGCGGTGTCTTCCGTTGAATACAATTTGCTGATTAATAAGGGCTGGTAACGAGGTGCGCCGATCATATTGATGTTGAGAATCTCCAACAAACATATATATATATATAGAATTCAATTCAACGAGAGAGGCCTACTAACGGGAAATATCTCTGACGCCTTCGATATTTACCGTATCGTGGCTCATTAATTATCTCGCCTTCTATTTCAACGACAGTTTCCTGATTAGTGACGGGCACCTTCTCGTTATATATATTTTTTTCATCGCACGCATTGTATTACTTTCCACTAATTATTTGCATATTTTTTTTTTATTCAGTTGCGCAACAATTCCCATATCGATCGATTGACTTTTAGCATTATATACTTTCGCGTAACTTTTTTATAAAAAAAAAATTAGAAAACTGTTTAATTAATGATGAATTTCTTTCTGTTCCAGGTGAGTCCTGATAATAAGTCTAAACTTACACAACGGATAAATGTGAGTAAAGGTGTTTTTTAGTTCTAAATCCCAATTGTTTTTAATTTTTATTTTTGACCTACGTTGGCCCTACTTATTAAAATTCTATTTCAATTAGGTCAAATTGTGACAACAATTCACGGTTTCAATTTGCTATCTTTAAGAAAACTGTAATTTTAGGTATCAATTTGATCCAATTCGGTATCAACTTGATTCAATTAGGCATCAATTTGATCCAATTAGATATCAATTTGATATCGATTTGATTCAATTTGATCCAATTTGGTATCGATTTGATCCAATTTAATTCAATTTATAAATAAAACCCTAACCAGTTGGTTCATCCCATAAATCATCAATTGCAATCGAATCAATACACAATGAACCTTCGCAATCTTGCGATTTGCTATATTGATAAAACTGTGATACGAACTTTCATAACGAAGAATCTCATTAGGAGCACAACGCTACTAATCATATTCTCCATTTTCGAGGTTCGTACCGGCGTAGATAGCTCTAATAGGAAAGAAACATACTAATAATTTGTTGTTGGCAACATTGTGTCACTATATGTTACTAAAAGTAACTCACCGCTCGTTGATGTCGTTCCTGAAACAGAAAAATGATTTCCAAAATTACTATCATCTTTAATTAATAAGACATAATTATAATTAATAAATAATAATACAATAAATGACCAGATAATAAACATAATTATAAAATATTTACACAGAATTTATCAGTATAATTTCTCTTTAAATATACCAAAAAAAAAAGAATAAATTCGGATTGGAAAATTGAACTAAAGAGCAAAAATAATTAAAACGTCCCGGAGCAAAAGACAAAAGCCGCATGGGGGGTTTACCTATATACCCATCTGCGCGAGGGTTTTAGAAGGTTTCGTAAGGGGTTTGAAAAAGAAGCAGGCAAGAGGGATGGACGATGGTGGTTTGATAGGCGAGTGAAGAAAAACACGGACTTGATCAAAGTAAAATACGCATTAGCAGCCATGTGGGTAATTATCCTAGACCTTTGCTTTAACCCCTTGCCTCGTCTGGTTTTCTCCGTCGTTTCGCACACTCTCTCCCCCTCTGGTCCCTCTTCTTCTGCCCAAATCCCACACCACTCTCTTTCTCTCAACCATGTCTGCGATTCGTTCCCTTTTCTCGACCTGCGCGGACCGTCAATTCCAAAAGCTTCTCGCCGCTAAGGAAAATAATTTAATTAATCTGATTGAGATTGTTAATACCGCTATCTCGCGAAATAATATCCAAATGAATTAATACCCATCGTCAAGTCGCGGTAGAGATCGAGAGAGATAAATAGTCGCGAACGACATCGACTGAATGTATAGTCTCTCTTATTATATAATAGCGAAGGAAGAAAAAGGGAGGAAAATGAGGGAAAGAGGGAGAGAAAAGAGAATACAGGATACAGAGAGGAAGAGAGCCCTAATTAGCTAAGTAAAGCTCGAGCATTATCGCTTATTTTAAACCCCGTCTCTCTTTATCTTTCCCTCTCAATCCCTTACGCCCCTATTCCATTCTCTTCCTCTCTCTCTCTCTCTTTCTCTTTAACAAAATACAAAGTTACTCTTCCTACAGCATGGCCAACTATTGAATTCTGCCGATCAATTTCTCTTTAATTTTACACAAAAAAAAATCTCCCTCTCCTCTTTTATAAAGAGACAATTTTCACTTTCATAACTTTTTCAGGGTTTCTACAAATTCCATGATTTTTCATGAATCAAAATGAAATCCCATGATTTCCAGGTTTTCTATGACATACAGAAACCCTGACTTTTTACTTCTGGTATTCAATTTCAATTTTTTTCAATTTTCTTTTATTCGATCGACTTCTAAATTCATAGCCCAGCTTCCTAACTTCTCTCGCCGTGCAATGAAACTTGCGGCAACATTTAGAAACACTAAGGAAACGTTGGCAATATTCCCGCAACTTTCATGATTCCCTGACCTGAAAATACAGTTTTTTTAAGATTTTCAAATTCCGACCGCATACCATAACATCGTAACAAGTTTAATTTGTATTTTTGTCTCAATTTGATACCATTAAAAAAAACTGAAAACGCTTTTACGAGGATGAGGGTAATTTTCAATAATTTCGAATTATCAAATTTTTTCTTTTTAATCTCTCGGCGGCTTTCTCATGAAGATTGGATAACAAAAGAGAAAAAGAAGAGAGGGTGCTGCCGAAACTCACCCTTTAACCCTTTTTTCCGACCCTGGTCCCTCGTAATACACGCGCGGTGTACAAGGTACAATGAGTAATAATTTAAAACACGGATAAAATCGATATTAACCTCCTCCATCAGAGAGACCCTATATATCCGCCCGTCCACCCCCTTTCTTCCCCCGCATTTGAAAATTCACTTTGCGTCGACGTATAGGCCGTGTGCAACTTTATCGACGAGTCTTTCATTTTGTTTCTAAATATGTAAGCGTAAATATACGTATATACGCACTTGTATGTATATATAATATGAATTACGCGTGTTTGCTACTGATTCAAGTTATAATAATACATGTGTTAACGCATTACACATATACAAACACGCACTCCCTCCGTATCGGGAGTAGACATATAGTTTTGATCTTGACTGCTTTCTTCCACCGCACATCCCGCTCCTTGAAAATGTCACGTATATTCTCTCTCTCCGATCACCCGAGTCGACTGCTTGTGTTATAATCAACCTCGCTGACTCATTGATTCAGTTAACAGATACACTGCTTGCTAAATTAACGTTCCTTTGTCTCTGTAGTGTTTAATTTTTCATTCCCCCTCTCCAACCCCCTTCTTCCTCACTCTCCCCCATTTGTAACATCATCAATTAAATTGCTATTTTAATCCCCATTTTTTTTTCATTTTTTGATTATCCTAATATTCCTAAAAATTACTAAGAATTCAAAGATTCGTTTTTTGTCTCAATTTGATAGCTTTCGAAAAACTATATGTATAAAGTTTTTTGTTACCATAAAAACATTTAAAAATAAGATACTTTTCAATCACTCTGCTTTGAACATGTAAAAAAAAATTCCAAGCACAAATCACATTTCATAATAATTAAAGCTATAAATTTTTTTCCGAATTCTAAATTTTTTTTCTTCTTTTTTTTTTGATAAAAGAATTAATTTTTTGTATAACGGTATACAATGCACGAAATCTTGTTTATCTAATAGAGCTCCACTCGTAAATCATGTTTCACGCATATATTGCTTTGACGATGATGGCTAATTATTATTTGAGTCGAAGGACAAACGAAAAGTTTCCATGACGATATGTGCGCGAGATCAAAAATCGAACGATAAACTCTGCAAATTGTATATATACATATATCTACTTGTATGTATATATAAAAAGAATAGATCACACAATTTGTCACTTACTTGACATTGATTAACACTGATTACCCGGCCACGTGGATTTCTAATACTTTATAATTCCATTTTATTAACTGTATATGTACAAAAGAGAGAAAAAAAAATTTTCTAAATACAAAGGCCATAAAATTTCATAATATCTATACATTTTGTCATCGTATACGCGAATTCTATATAATTTAATCAATAACGTTTATTTTGAGGGATCCCTTCTTTTTTCAAAACATTGAAAAGTCACACAAAAAGAAAAGAAATTAATAATTTCAAATTGTCAATTTTAGTCTCTCTATTTGGAGATCTCAAAATCGATTGGTTTATAATTGATTCCCTTCGCAGAGCGTTTAGTATATTCAGGGTATAGTCCTCCCCCCCCCCTCTCGCCCTCTCTCTCTTTCTTCACCCAAGCTTCGTCGAATTCAATGCGACGAAATTAAGGGAATTGAATTAACCACGATGGGAGTTTTCATTATCGAGAAAATTGGCAATTTTCCACTGTTAAGCTTAACGCTCGTTCTTACTGCCTTCACTCGGGATCGCGCGCGGCCGCGGGCTTAATCGCTGGAAACTTCCCGCGAGATTTCGAATGTCGCCATTAATTAGTACTCCCAATATTCGTAAAATTCGATGTTCCCAATTTCACTTATACGCATACATTTATATATATATATAAATGTATATTAGACCTCGTCGGGAGTTTCGAGTTTGTAAAATTGTAAAGCGTAACGAATTCAGATATGATCAGAAAGAAAATTATATTATAAGAAAGTGGGTAAAATTTAATTTCCATTTCTTTGAATTTAGGATAGTAAAACATAAATTACAGGGTGGCCGCTGGACCGGGAAAAACGGGAAATGACAAGAAATTTCTTTAAACCCGGAAAAACCGGGAATTATATATATATTATTATATTATATATATATTATAAATTTACCTTTAAAGATTTTTTATTAAAATTTTTAATAATTCAATTCTTTTCAAAATTTCCAATTAAAATTCTTCAAGAGTTGATTTTCAAAAATTTGTAACAAAATACTTGAAAGAAATTAATTATTTTCAATTAAATTTTACAAAATTTTAACTATTCAAAAACAATTTTCAAAAAATTATAATAAAGAAATTCTTACAATTATTTTTTTAAAAAATATTTAAAAATAATTTACGAACGATAATACTTTTTCAATTTTGAAAAATTTCGAAACAATTAAAATTTGGTAAAATTCTTTAAAAATAATTGAATTTTTCAAAAGTATAAATAAAAATTATTAAATTTTTGAAGAATTTTAATTATAAACATGATTTTTTTAAAAATTTTAATATGTCCAAAAAGTAAATTTTGAATCTTAAAAAATTATTACAAAACAATTGTAATAATTAGTTTTTAAAAATGTTTTATTATTGTAATTTTTCGAAAATAATTGCATTTCTTTAAAGAATTTTTGTATAATTTAAAAAATAAATTTATGAATAACTAATGAATTTATTGATAAATTTTAATTAAAAATTTTGAACATTATTGTTTTCTCCAAATTGTTAAAAATATGTAATTCTAAAATGTTATTATTTTTGGAAATATGTAATTGAAAAAATTAAAAATATCGAATTTTAAAGAAATTAAAAGCTTATTTTCATTTTTAAATTTACCTTTAAAGATTTTTCATTTAAATTTTTAATAATTCAATTATTTTCAAAATTTGCAATTAAAATTCTTGAAAAGTTGATATTCAAAAATTTTAGAATTTCGGATTTTGGAATTTTTTTTTTAAAAACACTGATTATTTTGTGAGAAGAAAAAGAAATATTTATTTTACGACTTATTAATTATATATCATTAAAAAAGATTGAATGATCTTCTATAAAATCGTTTTATTTTGTCAGAGAATTTTATCAAAAGTACTGGAAAAATATTCAATTTCTAGAATTTATAAGAAAATTATGAATTTTGTTGAGTATAAACAATAAAAAAAAAAAATAATTAAACAAAATATAATTTTAATTAAATGCGTCGAAAAAATTTTAAGGAGAAAAAATTTCACATCCTATAACATAGTGGAAAATAAATCAATTTATAAATTTTTTTTGCAATAATATTATAACAAAACAAATTTGAATTAGTAAAAATTTCAACTAATTAGAACAAAAGTGATTCGAAATTTATAAAAATTAATTTTTAAATAATAAATAAAGTAAATAAAAAATAAAAATAAATAAAA